TATATATATATATATATGTATGTGTATAATGTATGTAGTTACTGCTGCTAAGTCCGACAAACTGTTGGACCTGACAGAGTTTTATTACGGCGCTGCCACTGTTTATTATTGCGCTCCCAGGAGAAATATTGTCAAATTTTTTGGAAAAACTATCTCAGAAAGAAGCAGACAGTGCATTTGAAGGTTGTATTCAAACTGACATGAAAAAATAATGATAGAAGCTAAAGCCTTATGATCACAGAGTAAAAGTGAACCACCATATCACCTGACTATTGAGAAAGAGGACAACGATATGTAGGATAAACACTGCTCCTGTACAGCTGGGTAGGCCTCTGTTAACTATTACAATCATTAAAAAGCAGAACAGTAGGGCTATATAACTTTACATTCAGTAGTAACATTACATTAGGAACAATCCAAAGCCTACATTTTTCTGGATTTGTTTTAGGTTTTGGAAAGAGAATAAATCTTACATCTCCTTTTAACCTCTCTGGATAGCAGCTGTAATTATTACAAGTTCCCCAGGAACAGCGTTTGACCAGATCTTGGAAAATACGGCAGAAGAAAGCTAGAAAACGACTCCTTTTACATGGAGTCAATGGAGCGCAGCCATGAAAGTGTGGGACCTCAGTTAGAGCATGACCTATACTCTGCTGTGATTGGCCAGCCGCGTGTTTGGGGCATGGCTTAGCAAAGGGTCAATTACCATAACTTTGAGCCGAGGCTAGGTGTACAGGTGTGTGTCCAGGATAATAGATTTCCCCCTTCAGTTTTTACTTTAACAGCAGAATTGCCGTTACTTGTCACATAACTTGGACTCAGAATGCAATACTTCTACCTGTCCTTTTCCACCTATAACATGTCTGTAACATTTAGTGATGATTAGTGTTTTTTCTGTGCACCATGTGTCATCACAAAACACTAAAACAGCAAAAACTAGTGAGACAGATATTTCAGTAGCTGTGGCATACATTCAAATATTGACGTCAAGTGTGTGTGTGTGTGTGTGTGTGTGTGTGTGTAGCTCTCTGAAGTGGATTTCCTGGACTCTGTGTTGGTTTTGGGGTTTGGTGAAGAGCTCAATCAGACCCTCTTGCAGGTGACTCTTTGTCTGTTTTATTTATCTGAGATGATTTGAGCAGTGAACACTTTACATGAGCCAATGTGTTTGACTTCACTGCACTCCAGCTCATTGTTGCTTTTGTTGCAGCTCTACCTGGAGCACCACAGTCAGATCCGCAGCATCCTGAATCAGTTGCCCTCCAATCTGCCGACCTACCACAACCTGGAATGGAGATTGGATGTACAGGTGTGTGTGTGTATGCTGGATAATCTAGACATTATTATTCAACTACTGTGTATTCAAATGGATAGATTAATTATCAAGATTAGAACCATCAGTCAGTGTGTCACTTTACACCATGTGACCATCTTATGAGCATGCAGGTATGAAATGTGTAAGACAGGCTACACTGCAAACTGAAAAAAACCTGCATACACTGGTTTATAAGTATAACCTGTGCTCATACATTTAGTGTTTTTAGCACTTAGAGGTGTAAATGTTACGTTTATCAATATTCAGCTTTTAACTTTTCCCCATTGTTTCTCTGTCACTCCTTGTTGTGGTTTCCCTCACTTGTTCCTGCCAGTTGGCGAGCCGTTCAGTCCGTCAGCAGGTCATTCCCACGCTGACAATGCGTCTACTATTGACGAAAGGTTGTGACAGCCGCAGTGACCACAGCAGCAGGGTTCTCCAGACAGACCCCAGCACCCTCCTGCATCTCATTTCCACACTGGAGGCCGCTCTGGCTGCCATCAAAACCAGCCACGCTCGTCGCATTTTACGCAACATCAAATAATCCCTCAGGTCATTTTCTGTGTGAAGTTTGTCACCTGCAAAACATCACATTTACTGCCTTTACACATGGAAAATATTAAGCAGTGCTGTACTCTTCTTTTGATGTGGTCCTACAGGTCATTGTTTATTTCCCTTGACTAACGATAAGTGCCAAATGGTATTTACTGTATTGTATGAGGCTTTCTACAGTGCTGCTGATATTGGTTTTTAAGTGCAAGTACACAATTTTTTTTGTTAGTTAAAGGCACCAATGACCCTGACTTCAAGGAGTACAGTACATCCGTGTCAATATTTGACTGGAACAGAACCTGACATACGTTGTAATATGATGCTGATGAGTGTTTAAGCTCAGCAGAAGAATGACCGTAGTTGCTGTTTTCAGTGAAAGCCATATGATGTTAATTCAATTCTTGTTGGTATCCTGCATAACAATGCTTTTTAAGAGTTTAGAGTATGCGGAACAGCATGGGTTTAGAGGTAGAGCTGGTCACTGATTAATCAGAAGATCTGCGGTTCAATCCCACGCTTTCCCCAGCCTGCATGTCAAAGTGTCCTTGGGCAAGATTCCAAACTCCTTTCTTTCTGATGAGTAGTGGGCACCTTACGTGGCAGCCTCTGCCCTCAGTGTGAGAATGTGACATGTAGTGTGAAGCACTTCAAGTGGTCAGAAAATTAGAAAAGCACTATACAAGTTGTGTTGGTTGCTCCTGAGCCCTGTTTTGCACAAAGCTTAGTGAAAACTTTGCACAGTAGAAATAGGAATACAATTGTTTTCATGCATAGAAAATGATTTTTCAAAATCCTCCTGAATGCATATGCAGATACTCCTTGTGATTATTAAATATATTAACCCAACTCTAACTTCCTTCCAATTTATTTCATTCCCTCACACTCATGCATTGTGTAATATTCAACATTTTTATTTTTCTACAAAATAATCAGTTCACACAGAGACCATGGTCTTCTTTAGTATTCAATAGGTTTATCACAGGAGCAGGCAACAGCAAAGGAAACTAACTAACTTTCTATGCTACTTGTATATATTTAGAATAAATGACTGCACAAGGGAGAGGGACATAGTTTCATTAATAATTTGTTTATTTGTCACAAGCCAATAAATCATTTTAATTCTTTTGGTGTTATTGGAATACATAACACTTAGAAATAAAAAAAAATCTTACTAACTGTGGCATTGGGCTGCAGGCATAATTAAAATAAATGTTATTTAAATACACAAGCAAGATGCCAAATGAGTAAAGATAACCTTCAGCTTAAACAACATTGTGTTTTATAAAAAAATGATCTTGTCATTTCACCTCATGAAATGAGGTGACTCTCTTAAAGAAAATAAATCTCCTGTGAATGATGGATTGATAAGTGAATTTTATAAAGTCTTTATTAAGACCGTAGCCCCATTTTAGTGTCTGTATTTGAAGAAGCCAAAGAAAAAGGAGCTACCACCTACTCTGCGTCAAGGTCTTATTAACCAAACCAAACCAAACCAAAAAAAGATAAATTAAGTATTGAGAATTGGAGGCCAATTAGTCTATTAAATAATGATGCCAAGATATATTTGCTTTGATCTTGGATTGGATAATATTATCAATGAAGAACAATTGTGATTCATGCCCGGAAGGAATATATGCAACAACATACGGTTAATTCTGGACATGATTGATTATAATGAATATATAGTGGACAATAGTTTTATTTTATTTGTTGACTTTTATAAAGCATTTGACACAATAAGCCACCAATTTAGTAATTAAATGCTTTGGATTTGGAAACCAATTTCTAAATGCTGCCAAAACACTTTATAAAGGGTGCAACAGCTCAGTTAAGTTAGCACATGGTACGATAACGTACCCCCTAGATTTGATATTGGTCGTGGGATAAGACAAGGTTGTCCCCTTAGCCCCTTTCTGTTTTGTTTCAAGGTATAGTGTCCTTAAATAGAGAATTTAAATGATCTCAACTGGCAGATGATACAACTATTTTTCTGTCAAATAAAGAGGAAGTGATCAAAGCAATTAGTTGTATTGAGGATTTTTCTATTGTTTCCGGCTTAAAAATGAACCTGAACAAATCTGTATTATTACCACTTAAAGAATGTGACCAATCAGGAGTAGACAGTATACCTGTAAAGAACACAGTTACATACCTAGGTGTAGTCATAGGTAAGAATGAGAAACTCCATAGTAATCAAAACTTCAACCCTATAATTGAACAAATAAAGAGAAGGTTCAAACATGTGGTTGATGAGAGATCTTTCATTGAACGGTAGAGTTCTACTTTCTAAAGCTGAGGGAATATGCAGATCTGTTTATGTCTCCTTATCATTGGAAATGCCTAGTGTAATATACAAAAAATTGATGCAATCCTAGTTAATTTCATATGGAGGAATAAATATCATTATTTAAAGATATCTTATGTAACACAAAAAGAAATGGAGGTCTGGAGGTCTTAAGTTTTGAAACTTTAAACAATACTTTGAAAATTAAATGGCTAAATAAGTTAATTCCGGAAAAAGATAATATGTGGAACACCTTCCCTAAAAATATATTTAATTTAATGGGTGGAATTGAATTTGTATTAAAATGTGACTATAAAATTAAAAAATTACCTGTAAAGTTATCAAATTTTCATAAACAAGCTCTGCTGGCCTGGAAGTTAATTTACAAGCATAATTTTTTACCAACTAATTACTGCATTTTGAACAACAGAATATTCAATATAAAAATAAATTACTATTTTATGAGATATGGGGTGCCAATGGTATTGTATTAGTTAAACAGCTTGTCAGTGCTGAAGGGCAGTTACTAACTTATCAGGAATTCCTCGCTGAATTCAGTTTACCAGTTACGCCAAAAGAATATGCAGTGGTTTCTGATGCTGTGCCAAGGAGGGTGCTGCAACTTCTTAGAGGTTTGGTTAGTGAGGTCTCAAGGATCCAACCATTTATATGAACTTTATATGAAAAGGAAAACTGGACAAACGTTTCAACTTCAGGAAAAGGACATTTTTTTATATGTTTTGAAAGAAACGAGAAGGAAAAAGATGTAATTCTTTTTGTACAGTTGGTAATAGTATTGGGGAAATTCCACATCCACAAGAAAAAATGGTCTGACTCCAAACCACACTTTGGGCACTTTCTCCAAGAACTGCATCAGTATAGCACCACAATTATAACCATTAAGAACAAGAAGGCAAATCTAACTGTGTGTTGGACAGATGAGATATTACTTTGAATCTCTGATTTTTATTTAGTTTTTATTTCGCAATGTCCTTCCTTTGTTATTATTTATGTATGTTGTCTTCTTATATAGCAGCCCCTGACTGTTTTGTGCTTTCAATTTCAATAAAATAATACAATAATAATAAAATAAAAAATATTGGTCCAAAACTGGCTCCACTGCTCTCCATTCAAATCAGCGGGGTGGCTTCAGTCCAGTAATATACTGTCTATGATCTCGACACAGCGTCGACACGTCAGTATAAAGCGTCCCATATGTGGATATATGTGGCTACTCCGTCGCCAGTGCTCAACGTCGTGGATAAGCCGTCAGGCTTGAAGTTGAACTACTTCTTCTTTTTTTTATTGGCAGTTGCCAAACTAGCCAAGAGGTGGATTACCGCCACCAACTGGACTGGAGTGGGGAACCAGAGATTGTTTTCAATACAAGGAGCGTCTATGAAGATTCTCAGTCATCCAGGTCATTGTTATCCAACGAAGGTTAAAATCAAGGGCAACTGGACTTTGTTGAACCAAGTCCAGTTGCCCTTGATTTTAACCTTCGTTGGACAATACAAGGAGTATAGCCCTACATGTTCCAGCCTTTTTTGTCATTAAAAGTGTTGCTGGAAAAATACTTGAAAGTACAAGAATACATTTTTACACAAAAATATAAAAGTAGGGTAATCTTTTAAGCAATATAATTATATGGATATATATTTATCCAAGATATTAATCAACTTAATTATGTAATGTCAGCTGAGAGGTTTGTACTTAAAAAACAGTCCTTTAGCTTTGTTAGTATGTCTTTGTCAAAAAGGTTATTTTGTAAATCAAACCAAAAGGAAGTGTGAAAAATACCTACCTGTAAAATAAGAAGGATCTTTAAACAGGTTTGACAAGGGTTCACATTTTTGGTGAAATTGCAGTATAGTGCAGTCTATATTAATCGGGCATTGTTTTGTTTATTGTGGCTGAACTGATTTAAATTGTTTTTTTGGCTGCTGTTTGGCTCATTTATTATGATTGTTGCTTTTATGATAATGCTTTTGAACTTGAAATTCATGCTAGACTATGTTGTTAGTTGTGGACCGAAATGGTTTTGTGGTAGATTGTTTTCTGTTGGTTTGCAGCAGAGTTGCATCAGCAGGTGTTGTTTATTGGCGGTATGTCTACATGACTGTTGCCTTGCACAACCCATTTGTATGATTATTTCCTGTTACACTGAGAGAAACACATGGCTTGTGTCATTCATAGGATAAGTATTCACCTTTTTACCAACACAGGTTATTTTTAGCTGAGACACCCATCAGGGACATATCGTGACAAAACAGTGCAAAGAGCTGCTGAAGTGAAATTATAGGCTGTAATATCAAGCAGAGCATTCAGACCATATAATAGTAGTGCCCATGTAGTCTGCCCAATTGGGGCTAGATGTGATTTTACTGTCATTTTGTAAAGCGACTGATGATGAAAATGATCTCTTGTTTAAAGAAAAAGGCGCACCACAAAAGTAGTACTAGCTTTGGGAATGATCAGGCTGCGGTTTGCAGTTTTTAAACAGATGCTATAATGTTTATTGGAACCTCGAAATGTTTCTGGATTGTGAAGAAATGATCTGTAGCCTTTAGGGCTAAAGGCTGCTCTGACAGAGATCAGAGCTCTAACAGTGGACAGATGATGCAGCTGTGCAACACGTCATTTAATTGACGTTGCTTTAAAATGACGGCTCCGAGGAAAGGACATCTCGTTAAATGCCCGTTTCCTCGACTCCTCTCGCTTGCATCTCGGGTGGGAGGGACTATCACGCGCCGCGAGGAGACAAGGATCGAGTAGGTGGAAATGAGAAAGACCCTGGATGCCTTCATCTTTGTATATTGACACTCATCGCAGAAAAGGTTTCCGACCCCTGGGTTACAGATTTGGAGCAGACCATGAATCTGAGCCCAGGACCCACAACCTATGAGGTGACCACTCATCCAACATGCTGACTATCTTGACTGCCCTGATGGTACTTTCAATATTGTCCCCCCCCCCCCATTACTGATAAACTGACAAGGAGCTGATATGACGCTAATTTTCTGCCAAAACATGACCATATTTTACAGAAGTCCTGTGATTCAATCATTGCAATACACGCCATTAACAAACTAATGAATATTTTTATGCAAATACAAAAAGAACATTTTCAAATATGATGTTTTGGAAACAAATACATCATGCACAGTCTGGAGTTTGTAGTTTTGCAAACTTTTATTGACAGATTAGTCCTTCTTGGCGGCAGCCTTCCTCATGGCAGCCAGTACGTTGCTCAGCTCCTCTCTCTTTCTCTTGGCCCGAATGTGAGTGCCAATCTGGGGAAGGAAGACACCACTTAAATCTCCATACAACATATATTTTTAAAATTTTAACTGCATTAAGGATAAATGCTTTAGTAGTAATAGTCAATTACAGAAATAATGTGCTTTGCTTTAAGCAGTGGGCTACGTATAACACCTGGGGTTCCATTTATTTGCAGTACCCTGTCTAATACTGTCGCAGTCTGGAGCCCTGAATTCAACATCTGTGGGGGCTAGATGAATACAACTATGTACGAGTACAACTCTGGACATACAGATAGAAAGACACAATCAAGCTATATTAAAAAAAAAAAAAAAAAAAAAAAAAAAGGGTTTGTGTCCATGTGACTCCGTATAAAGCTTAATCAAGTCTATTTTCCACTGCCACGGTTTTGTAAGTGAAGTGTAACTGAAAAACCAAAAAAAGGTACAAAAGTAAGCAAACTGCCAAAGTTAAAAACATTTGCATCACCAAAACAAACATTTTCAGATATAAAATTAATAGAAGTGGAGTTAAGAGTTTTGTTCATTATTTCACTGTAGGAATAACTGATGACTAGTTTTCCTTCCTTAACGGCCATTTTAGTTGCAATATTATATAAAACTTCTGAGGGTGTATTAACAGGCTGTTCCAACATGTTTACTGTAGAAATGCGTTTCTATCAACTATTAACACAAATTCAACAAATCCCATGAAATAGCATGACATTGCAATTTTCACCAATCACCTCAACTTTTCTGCAAATTTGACCCATCAGCGTAGTTTCCCGCAAAGTGTTGACATACGTCAGTAAACTCACTTGTTTAGAAGACACAGCAGACATGTGTGATACCAACGTCTCACATTTGGCTACAAAATAATAAAATTTAAAAAAAAAAAAAAAAAGGACAGAACAGGAACCAGATCTTTGTTCACACACATTTTGCAGTATTGTGGTCAAACAAAAGCAAGTAGTCTACTGACAAACACTTCTTGACCACAAAACATGGAGAAGTGTGGCACAAACGTATGGAAGACGTCAAACGAGACAAATCACCGACACAGGCTGCTGCATCCCAGTCAACTGTAAGCACTGAAAGAATCAAGGTACGCTGGTTTAAATTTGCAGTTAGAGGTAATGTTAGTGTGACAGGCGTAGCCTACTGTCTTGTTTGCATGACACTGAACTGTGTGTGATTTAAGAACAAAGTTTAGGGATACAAAAGTCAAGTTTAAACAAGTGTCAATTATTCAACTATAATGCTAAGGTTTTAGGGAAAAGGATAATCTCCTACTGTAGACACTCCTGTCTACATCAGTGGAGCAGATTAATAGTTTCAGGTTCTTGGGAATCAGCATCACAGAACCTGACATCTCACATCTCCATGCTGGTGAAGAAAGCTCAGAAATGACTGCATTTCTTGAGGAAGCTTAAGAAAGCCAAATTCCCACACCAAGTTCTTGTCCGCTGCTACAGAGGAGCAATAGAAAGCATCCTCTACAGGGCTCTGTAGCAGTTGATTAAAACTGCTCAGAAGATTGGTACCCATCTCCCAAGCAGCAGTTATATTGGTGAGGTGTCTGCAGAGCACAAACAATACTGCCGACCCCTGGGTTAGAGCCACAGCCTGTTCACCCTGCTGCCTTCTCGGAAGAGATAGAAGTTTCTGCTGCTGCACCACCAGGCTGCAGAGCAAGCATGAAGGAAGACAGCAGCTAGTCATTGGTTGATCCTACAGTTAAATAATGAACAAAACATCTTCATTTTATTGTTAAATCTGAAAGTCTCCGTTTTGGTGACGTGAACACTGTTTAACTTTGGCAGTTTTCTGCTTACTTTTGTGCCATTTAAGGTTTGTCACTGGAGTTGAGCTACTTAAACATGGGGATGTTCTAAAACCTTTGACCTGTGGTGTACACTGGTATGCAATGTTAAAGAGCTCTGCCAACAGGAATCCAAACTCACTCTCTTCTTGATAAACTTGAGGGCTCTCTTGTCCTTTGACACCTTCAACAGCTCCATGGCACGCCTCTCATATGGAGCAAAACCACACACTTCACGGATCATGTCTCGAACAAACTTGCTGTGTTTGGTCAGACGCTGCAGAAGACACATTATACATCAAGACAACGATTTAAACATGATCCACTTTATCTGAAATTCAGAACAATTAAGGTTGTCATAAATATAAATCACACCTTTGTAGTATATTGCCAACACTGAAAAAGAATGCTTATGACAATGTGATCCACATACCATGTTAATTACGGTCTAAAATGGCTTCATGTTGTAATGTGACAAATAAATCTGCCTTCTAGCAGTGGAAGAGATTTTTCATCAGAACTATAAGGTAATCTGCACCAGATTACCTTAAAAAGACTATGTGGTGTAATTGCAAAATGCAGGCACCAAGGCAAAAGTAAAAATGCATGGTTATTAGGGCTGCACGGTTTGGAGAAAGTCATTGCGATTATTGTGGAAAATATTGCAATTTGATTATAATGGAACAAATGGTACTATGAGTCTACGAGCACCTCAGAATCAGAGCATTTTGCCTGCCTGATTTTGCTGATGTTTAGATTTTGCTGATTTGGTAATCAGTGTTTGCTTTTTGTGCTTCTACTATGATTAAGTAGGCTACGTAGTTAAATGGTGTCTGTTTCAACTGTCGTTTTACAATTGGGATTCTCCACAGGGTGTTTTATTTGAAAATTGACCTGATTCTCTTCCTGCCTGGTTTGATCTGCTCTGTGCCGCTTGACGCAGCTAGCAGCAAAAATAGACCGGCTACATAGGCTGTGTTCGAAACTGGCTAAACTGCTGTCTCAGATGTCCAAAAGGACAGTGAGGCATCGAGTGCTGTTCGAAATGGCTCGAACGATTTCTTCCTGTCACGTAAGATGCGTTCACACTGCCCCAGTAATGGACAGTTTTGAAGGCAGCATCAATAGTGACTTGATGCTGACTATTACTCAAACCAGCGTAGCTGCGGCCTGTAGCTTTCGAAAACTGGTCAAGATGGCGACAAGTCAAATTCGTACACAAATATCATTTTTTAAAAAAGTTTTAGTAGTTTTCTCGCTTCGATTTTTGAAAAGCTAGCGAGAACTACGCACTGATCATATTAGAAAAAAGAATGTATGCAACCAACTTTGTCCAGTATGATTTCTGAGGTGCCTGTTAGCTATTTGACTTTTCAATAGCTAGTTAACTGATGCTAAGTCTCTCTCTGACAGCCAGAACAGACGCAAAGCTTGCTGACATCATGCGTTGCTGTAAGTGCTGCCCTAGAAGGCTGTTTGAAACCACTGGTAACAGATGCCTTCATTTTAAAGTGATGCCTTCTGAGGCAGCTGTCTATTATTGTATTATTGTAGAGAGGCAGCTGCCTTCCGTTTTGAACACAACCCTATTCTCTGTGGAGCGGATAGCTGCTTCTGGGATCCGCATCTGGTGAACTCAAAAGCATGGACTATAATGGCTGCGATAAAGCTCTGGTGTGACATGAAAATGTGTGACCCATCAGATTCTGTGACCCAAATGGGAAGTTAAGCACCAGAGGCTTTGTTGACGACTTGAAGCGGTTGCAATTTGGTTAGGTTTGGGCACCAAAAGTACTTTGTTATGGTTAGGAAAACATCATCGTTTGGGTTTAGTCACAGAATCTGATACTATACTTTTCTTCTGTCTTACCGCTTCAACTGCCAACGATGTCGCTTTGTCTGTCACAGAGCGAATCCGATATTTTAAACGAGTAGTAGTGGGTCAGGGAGGGGGTCACACTCATTAACATTTTTTCTGATTGCACATAGGTCTACCTGTTTTTAGAGGCACATGCGAGAGCCCAGTGTGAGCGTGGATAATGAGTAGACTGCAGGTACAAAGAGAAGTCAGCGTCACACACACTTTGTTTTATTAAATCGCACCCGTTTTGCGGTTAGGTAATTATCCCACGTGACGACGATTGCGATTAAATTAATCGTGCAAACTTAAGCTATGTGCATTTCGTGTACATCTGAATACATCTTTTCTAAAATCTGGTCATTGAATATCACAATCTATTGAAAATGAAGAGTGGTTTACAGCCATGAGAGCAGATAACTTATCTACCTGAGAGTAGCTGGAAGGAAAACTAGTCAACAGCAGATACTCACCCCGCGTCGGCGGCTGTGTTTTGGAGCAGTTATATTTTTGGTGACAGGATGGCCTTTATTAAGGCCAACGGCCATGGGGTAGCGAATAGCCATATCTGCAGAAGACAACACACACAATCATCAACTCAAGTGCAAAGTTTGTAAATGTAAGTGAAGATGTCACATCCCCCAAGCAGAGACGCGGTAACGTTAGTGATTCAACCGCGGGTGGAAAGCCTTCAAACCGGACATGAAGCGATAGAACATGACTTTATATAGGCCTAAACTATATCCAACACAGACGCTCAACAATATCCATAGTTGTCGTGCTGAAATGTGTGCGGTTGCTGCTTGCAAACAATAAGTAACGTTACAGAATTCAGGAGCTTATCAGTAGCTACATTGTGTTAACCGAAGAGACTAAAATACACGTTTCATTTATTTCTGTGGTACATGAATAGACATAGTTGTTACGTGAAGTCCAAAGATTGGTGTAGTGTCGAATTCTTTGGTTAAAATCGATGGATGGCAGAGATAATACGTAGATTTTAGTTCATGGTTGTACACATTAAATCCTACCTGCTATCTGCGATGTCGGTCAAACCGGAAGGACTGTTGGATGAACGAAGCGGGGCAATGAAGGCTTTGTACCGGAAGACATTAAGGCGGCGTGGCAGAGTAGCGCCCCTATCGGGATGAAACAGGAACTGTATAATTAGGCGTCCAGGCATCAAAGGCGTTGGTTTATACAGTCTATAAGCCTGTTATTTATTTTATTTCAGAATCGGGCTTATTAACATGTAGCTTTTATACATAGCCTATGAATTTGCCTTTTTAGAGAGGCCAGCTGGAGTTGGAAGAAACTGTTCTTGTGGATCGAGGTTTTGGTCTTGAATCTTGATCTCTGAGGAGCCATGACCGAGGGCACCATAGGCCTACACAATGGGATGGGATACACAAGAACTTGGAAGTGTTTTCATGCCGAAGGGAAGACAGATTACAGATTACACTGTTTTATCTTTGATTTGTTTTTTGATTCTAGTTAAAAGTCTGTGTTCACTGTAGGTCTGAACAACAAAAGGACCACAAACAACTTTCTGCATTTATTAGAAAGATTTTTATTTTCTTCTGTATTCAACCTCTTCCCATAAATGCATGTTACTAACTTCACTTCTTCTCTCTTCCATAATCTTGTGCTTTCTATCCCTCTCCCCTCTCTCTCTCTGTTGCTTTCTGCAGATGTTTCTGGTTCTGGAGTTCAATTCAATTAAATTCAATTTTATTTATATAGCACCAAATCACAACAAGTTATCTCACAGCACTTTTCATAAAAGAGCAGGTCTAGACCATACTCTGTGATGTTATTTACAGATTCCCACCAAGAGCAGCACTGGGCGACAGAGGCAAGGAAAAACTTCCTTTTAAGAGGCAGAAACCTCGAGCAGAACCATGGCTCAGGGTGGGCGGCCATGTGCCTCGACCGGTTGGGGTGAAGGAGAGAGAGAGAGAGAGAGAGAGAGAGAGAGGAACAGAGAGAGAGAGAGAGGGATGGAAGGAGAGAGAGGGGAGGGAGGCAGCCTACACAATATACACACAGAGGTACAGACAGTAAAAGTGATGTTGCTATAGACTAAATGAAAAATGGTATAGATATGCATAGTAGTGTTAATGATAACAATCATAATGTTAATGATTATAATAACAATAATAACAATAGGACTAGTAACAATAGTTGTAGCAGAGGGTGTCAAGCAGGAACACAGGGGCAGCAGGTGACCCGCAGCCACAGATTCAGACTCCACAGCTCCAGAGCCAGAAACACCTGCAGGAAGTGATAGGAGGAGAGAGGAGAGGGACGAGAAAGCACAAGACTACCGGAAAGGGGAGAAGTTGTGTTAGTAACATGCAATAATGGGATGAGTTTGCATACAGAGGGAGAGGAAATAGAGGAGAGAGGAGCTCAGTGCATCATAGGAAATCCGCCGGCAGTCTAGGCCTATAGCAGCATAACTAAGGGATGGTTCAGGACTCACCTGAGCCAGCCCTAACTATAAGCTTTATCAAAGAGGAAAGTCTTAAGCCTACTCTTAAATGTGGAGATGGTGTCTGCCTCCTGAACACAAACTGGAACCTGGTTCCACAGGAGAGGAGCTTGATAGCCGAACGCTCTGGCTCCTAGTCTACTTTTGGAGACTCTAGGAACCACAAGTAACCCTGCATTCTGGGAGCACAGTGCTCTGGTGGGGTAGTAAGGTACTATGAGCTCTTTAAGATAAGATGGTGCCTGACCATTAAGAGCTTTGTAGGTAAGAAGAATGATTTTTCTATTCTGGATTTTACTGGAACCCAATGCAGAGAAGCTAAGACAGGAGAAATATGATCTCTTTTCCTGGTTCCTGTCAGAACACGTGCTGCAGCATTCTGGATCAGCTGAAGAGTCTTAATGGACTTTTTTGAGCAGCCTGACAATAAGGAATTGCAGTAATCCAGCCTAGAAGTAACAAATGCATGGACTAGTTTTTCTGCATCACTTTTAGACAGGATGTTCCTGATTTTTGCAATATTACGTAGGTGAAAAACAGGCGGTCCTTGAAATTTGCTTAATGTGAGACTTAAACAACATGTCCTGATCAAAGATAACTCCCAGATTCCTCACAGTGGTGCTGGAGGCCAGGGCGATGCCATCAAGGGAAACTTTATCTTTAGATAATGCGTCACGGAGGTGCTTGGGCACCAGAACAATAACTTCAGTTTTATCTGAGTTTAACATTAGAAAATTACAGGTCATCCAGGTTTTAACATCCTGAAGGCACATTTGAAGTTTAGCTAACTGATGAGTTTCATCTGGCTTGATCGATAGATATAACTGAGTATCATCTGCATAACAATGAAAGTTTATGGAATATTTCCTGATAATATTGCCTAAAGGAAGCATATATAAAGTGAAGAGGATTGGTCCGAGGACAGATCCTTGAGGAACTCCATGACTAACTTTGGCGTGCATGGAGGACTCATCGTTAACATGTAAAAACTGAAATCGATCTGATAAATAGGACTTAAACCAGCTTAGAGCGGTTCCTTTAATGCCAATGAAATGTTCCAGTCTCTGTAATAGGATCTGATGGTCAATGGTATCAAATGCAGCACTAAGATCTAATAAAACCAGTACAGACAAGTCCTTTGTCTGATGCAATAAGGAGGTCGTTAGTAATTTTCCGATGGTTTAGATGAAGAAATTATTGAAGTTAGTTGGTAAAGATTGAGGGAAGCAAAACAGTCTAAACATATATCTGGTATTACAGCTGTTTCTAAGGTTCCTGAGTAAGTCGGTGCCAGTTGAGGGCAGGTCTTGGTGAATTTTGTTTCTAATAGTTAGAATTTTATCATTAAAGAAGCTCATGAAGTCGTAACTACTGAGAGCTATGGGAATACTTGGCTCAATAGAGCTGTGACTCTCTGTCAGCCTGGCTACAGTGCTGAAAAGAAACCTGGGGTTGTTCCTCTTTTCCTCTATTAATGACGAGTAGTACGCTGCTCTGGCCTTCCTATAAGTTTTAAGACTATCTTGCCAAATTAAATGAGCATTTTCCAGTTTGGTGGAACGCCAATTCCTCTCAAGTTTCCGTGATATTTGCTTTAATTTGCGAGTTTCAGTATTATACCATGGAGCTAACCGTCTTCGTTTTATTATTTTCTTTTTTAGAGGGGCTACAGAGTCGAGTGTCATTCGCAGCAAGCCTGCAGCACTATCAACAAGATGATCGATTTGGGAGGGACTGAAATTAGCATAGGAGTCCTCTGTTACTTTGTGACTTGATAATGAATATAGAGCTGATGGAATCGCATCCTTAAATTTAGCTACAGCACTATCAGACAGACATCTTGTATAGAAATTTTTTCCCAATGGCGTGTAGTTCAGGAATACAAACTCAAACGTTATTAAACAGTGGTCGGATAAAAACGGATTCTGTGGGAACACCACTAAATGTTCAATTTCAATACCATATACCAAAACAAGGTCGAGGGTGTGGTTAAAACAGTGAATCGGTTCATGAACACTCTGAGAGAAGCCAATGGAATCTAACAGAGAGATATACGCAGTACTAAAGCTGTCATTCTCAACGTCCACATGAATATTAAAATCCCCTACAATAATAACTTTGTCCATTTTAAGGACTAAAGTTGACAAAAACTCTGCAAATTCAGATAAGAATTCAGAATACGGGCCAGGAACTCGGTACACTATAACGAAAATAATTGGTTGCAGTGATTTCCAACTTGGGTGCGAAAGACTAAGAACAAGACTTTCAAATGTGTTATAGTTTAGTTTAGGTTTAGAACTGATTAGTAGTCAATGATAGCTGCAACTCCACCTCCTCGGCCTGTGCCTCGAGGAATGTGAGTTTTAATGACTGGGAGGGGTTGATTCATTTAGGCTAACATATTCTCCATCACCCAGCCAGGTTTCAGTAAGACAAAATAAATCAATATCATAATCTGATATAAGTTCATTTACTACTACACCTTTAGAAGAGAGAGATCTGATGTTTAAGAGTCCACATTTAATTTTCCTATTAGTTTGCACTATTGCTCTTGTGGTTTTAATTTTTATGAGGTTTTTATGCACAGCTCCTCTTCTGTTTACCTTTGATTTAAATAATTTCGATGGTCGGGGGGCAGACACGTCACTATAGGATTTCCACTAAGTAACTCCTGAAATGGAGGAGCAGAGAAGTGTATTAGACGGCAACTCTGGGTTGTCATGGATTTGGTCCACTAATAAACTTGGCCAGATTTCTAGAAATGCCGTCTCTCCGGATCAGACCAGGTCTTCCCCAGAAAGTCTGCCAATGATCTACAAAGCCCACATCATTTGCTGGACACCACCTCGACAACCAGCGGGGGAATGACGACATGCGGCATACATGTCATCGCTGGTCAGATTTGGCAGGGGCCCAGAGAAAACTACGGTGTCCGACATTGTTTTTGCATATGTACACACTGGCCCAACATTTATCTTAGTGACCTCCGATTGGCGTAACCGGGAGTCATTACCGCCAAAGTGAAGAACAATCTTACTGTATTTACGTTTATCCTTAGCCAGCAGTTTCAAATGTCGCCTGCTCTGGCCCCAGGGATGCACTTAACTATGGCCGCTGGCTTCGCTAACTTCACGTTTCTCAAAATGGAGCTGTGTCGCTGAGTGGGGAAAATCTGTTAGAAACGTGAACAGGTTGGTGATGACCCGTGGACTTTGAATGCTTACGACTATTCCTCCTTCGGACAGTCACCCAGCCACCCCTTCCTGGCTGCACAGGAGATGCCGGGGGTGGCTACCACAGGGACTGGCTAGCTACAGTAGCTAAAGACTGATCTACCAAGGTGCGGAGCCGGACTTCTAAATCACTGAGCCTCGCCTCCATGTCTAAAAATAAACTACACTTGTTACACGTACCATTTCCGCTAAAGGAGGCAGAGGAGTAACTGAACATCTGACACACCGAGCAGGAGAAAGTAGGAGAGAGAGAGGGAGAAGGAGAAGCCATCGCTAGCTGCTAAGCTAAAGTCGCTAACGGCTAATCTAAAGTACTGTAGTGTCAGCTACCAAAACTTTTGAACAACTATGAGATTGAACAGCAGTCACTAAAAGATGGAAAGAACTGTGAGTGCTTAGGCAAAATTACTGTAAG